AAAACCACCGATAATGAAGTTGTAGGTGAAAAGTTGACCAATAATGAAAGAAAAAGTAAAAAAAAGACGTCGAACAGGGACTTAGACAGGGACTCCCCTCTGCCACTTAGCAATGGAGGAAGACGCTTGTTGGACGAGTGGTTTTCAAATCGGTGATATTTCCTATGTACTTGACTAGGGCTAGTGCATGTTCCAGCCCTTATGAATCGAATGGCTTGAAGCCTGCTTGGACCTAGGCTCCAGTCCGTCTTTCTTGAAATCCTCGGGCATTTTCAGTATGTCTGTTATTTCTTCTGTGCCTGACATACTATGGTTCGTATAGTCTACAGTGTTGTAAGCTTAGCGCATATTTGTGTTGAGCGGATAGGTTAAGTTCGTAAAAGTTTCGGAACGCTTTCAGGCCTTTGAAAACGACGATTTCGTCGAAACGTCAGGCAATAAATCTTCCACCATACAAAACCTGTCAGGCACAGAAGAAATAACAGACACTGCTTGGACTGTTGCTTTGAACAGGAGCCAGCACTTCTTCGGTACACTCTTCGTCTTCATGCTGTGACGTCATCTGCCATTGCCGTCGAACTCAAGGAGACCTACAGCGATTGTCCCAGCCTGAAACCCATTCTGACCAGCGTTTGGACGACGTAGTAGTGGATCACGATCCTTTGATCACCTTGGTGAGCTTTGAACCTACCACCATGATCCTGCTGCGGATTCTTCAGAAAAATCCCATGTCTTTGCAATTTTTAGCTAAGAAGAAGGCGCCCATGTCGCTAGGGAGGATATTGAAGTGACGCGAGCCATCAGATGTAGTCCGGGATCTAGACAATGGGAGAGAAAGGGTTTCTCCTTGTTTCCTCCTTTCTCTCAAAATGTGAGCAAAACCGTTGTGTTCTCGCGTGGTGTTTTTTCCCTTTCCTGGCATTAGTCCTGTGTCGCCTTGTCAAACAGCTCGGGCTTTGAATGTCCCCGCCAATGGGAAGACTTTCAAACAAATAGTCTGTTGGTAGGCAACACTAGGACTAAGCCCAGGAGAGGAGAGAAACGCTAAGGCCATGAGCGCCGAAAAGGGACGCAGTCACTGTTCGCAGGCCTTAATTCCAAAATATCCTTCTATATTATAAAGCGCTAACTTTGTGTGTCGGTTTGTGTATCTGTATGTGTGTGTGTGAGTGTGTGTGTGTGTGTGCGTGTGTATGTATGTATGTGTGTCCGTCCGCAAAATGAAGTGAGTGAGAAGGAAGCTCATGGGATAAACAAACCGCTAACAAATCGGGTAGCTTACAGGATTTGAGATATCAATGTTTTGTAGCAGGATAGTTGTGATAACACTCTTAGGGCTATATAAACACCTGCTTAGCACACTTCCGTTCATTCCACATGGTGCTGCAGTGGCAGCTGGAGGGCAGTGGAGAGAGGAAGGGAGGATGAGGAAGGGAAGCGAAAAATCTACCGTCATATCATGATTGTGTCCCTTCTACTGTATGAAACACCATTGTGTTGCATACGCGTCACAGGTGTTGGTGTCACAGGAGGAAGGGACCATAGCGGAGGATAGAAAGCTTGCGCAGGAAAGGAAGGTCCCGGCGGTTGACGGGGGACTAATCTGGTAAAAATAAAAGACCCCCACACTATCAGTGAAAGCGGTAGATTCTCACTCAGTAGTGAAGCAGTTTTAGCTGCACATGTGTCCGTAGTTGATAAAGAGCACAACTACGGCATATAGAAGAATTCCAATCCTATTCAATTTGAAGAATTCACTTCCCTTTTCCAGCTTCCTTCTCACAAAGATATATTTCGATGGGTTACATATGCCCAGCTCGCTTGCCCATGTTTTCTGGCATCTGCGCAGAAACCGACAAATTTCTAAAGCTCTAAACAGACCGGTGCGTAGCACGTGGTTACACCAAGATGCCACGCAGAAAGAACGAGATGGTTTTTTCCCTCTTAAGATTTACATCCATATTTGCGCTCTCATGATCTAGAGGAGTCGCGAACAACATGCATGCCACATTCAAACTTGCCGCCGAGTCGTGAGACGAAAGCCACCTCGAAGCTAGGAGAGCTCTGTAACCGTAGAGTTCATCAAATATTGTCCGTGCCGTGACGAACGCCGGCAGCTCCCTTCTTATTCCCAAAAGAAGTCGATTCTGCCATCCGAGCCACAGCAATAAGCAGCTGAATCGATCCGAGATCAAAGGAGACGGGTCGACAGGCGGTTGGGGCTGTGGCCGACACTGATGGTTCTAGGGCCAATGTCAGACTTTGCGAATCCAAGTTATTCGCTAGCGTTGCACCAAGCGAATAAAGCTGTGTACCAGCGAACCGAACGATGTGCCAGCAAACACTGTTGATAAGTTATTGCGCTCTGTGGTGATAGCTTAGCTGCGGAACGACCTGAAAGTGGAAAGGAAAGCAAGAGAAATCCTTTGGGAACGCTGCAATTAAGGCCTTAACCTTCAGTAGGGTAGAATGTGGTACGATGGCGAGAAAGGGTGGTCAAAGAAGACAAAATACGCGAGAGAGCACGTCGTTTGAGAGAGTACGCTGATCTCTCATCAATGCACGCTGATCTCACCACCTCTCGCGGGGTGGATGCGTTGGAAAGGGAGTCGATGGTTGCGGGCCCGTAAGGACTAGCGCCCTAACCGCGCAGTTTTTGCGACGAAGCTGGAGTGATCCAGTTACGTACGGACCTTACAATTTCCCCGTGGAATCCCTCCTACTAGTCGGGCTAATCCCGGGGTTTGCCTTTAAGCTTTGGGTACGCCGCTTTCAAAGTGTTGAGTCGCTGGTACATCGTTCGACCCGTTGGCACATTGTTCGATGCGCTGGAGCACAACTGGATTCGCTGGTGCAACGCTCGTATCTAGCGAATCGCTGGACTCGCAGTCTGACATCTGCCTGTGAGCGACCTTTGAGAATATTCTCAGAATATTCTTATTCTCTCCACTTTCATTGTTTTTACACATGCGACCGCATTTCATTCGAGACGATACTCACAAGTTATCTAAACTCGGATGATTCACTAAAAGTTGACCACCGTATCCCATTTTCGCTTGCTTCAAAGCGCTAAAGTACTGAATACCTGGAAATTGACCTGTTAGAAATTAAAAATATCAGAAAATTCAGAAATTGTTAAAAATATCTGCAATTGGCCAGAGGTGATTGTGTGACAACAACAGCCTACGACGTGCAACTTCTGAAGTCAAAATGTGACCCAGGCGTGTTTGTAGCCATGGACATCAATCCTTAGGAATTGTGAAAATCTCAGCCTTGAAGGCGGAGTTCAAAGTCCAGATTCAGCTTTCCCAGTCAAATACGTAGTGGTACGCAAGCGCGGAGCATGTGCAGAAGTAAGGGAGGGGGTTGGATTGACAAGCTGAGAGCCAAGAGCCATTGGCGCAGCCCAACCCCATTGAGCCCGCCCACCGTTCCATGTGACCTTCCAACCACTTGGAACACTAGATGTTAAGCGTTGTTTGGAAGGTCGTAGGGGAATATTTAGCGGATTTCAACTGCCAAGTTCAACATCAAAGCCTATGTTACGACCATTATCGAGAACGTCGTCATGCCTTGTAGAGATTCAAATTTTTCATACAATACAAAAATAGGAGAATTAGAGGCAATTGATCCACACTGCTGAGTTTTTATGGCCGTGTCGGCTGATGGCAGGAGAAAGCACTGTAAACATGTCCAGGCACATAATTCTCCCAGCCCAAGCTTGCAAGTAACTAACGAAGAAGAAGTCCTAATTTTGGACTTTTTCGGGGGTATTTCTTGCTTTTTTCTTCAACATCGATTCGCTTACTACCCAGTACTTTATTTGAAGGTAAATCCCACATTTTATCGCGTAGCTTACCTTTCAAGGAGGATTCCTCGGTATGGTCGAAGGTCGAAGAAGGAAAACTTACCCAGTGGAAAGAAGCCCCTAAGGGTGCGGACCGACACGCAATTCGCAGCGAAGGATATGCCCCGGCGATCTAGCATGGCCGTCCCCGCGGCGCTATCGACGCGGCACGCCCACGACTGGCTAACCACTCGCCGCAGGTCTCTAGCCGTTTAGCAGAGAGAGCGTTAGCGTTGAAGAGGGCAGCACCGATGAGAGTCGCATCAATGCGGAAACGGGCAAGGAAGGGATCCATTTTTCGGTTCAAGGTCGTTTCTCGTGGCTTTTCTTCATCCCAGCACCACTGATCACCTCACCTTAATTCCTCTAATGGTGTCCCCTAACTCCTCCTTCTCCGCCTTCAGTGTAAGCACTATAGCAAAAGAATAATTCTGGGGCCATTTTGTATTATATGTTTATTGTTTATTGTTTGAAACGTTGCATAAGGCAAACGTAAGATACAAATACAATCACAGAACAACCTTTAATACAATAAAGTAACTAGTCATATCTGCACAAATTTTTCCTAAGAGAATACGCTTGAAAAGCAGGAAGGTGGGAGAAGTTTAATAATTTAAGAAATTTAATACTTCATTCCGTAAAAAGCCGAGTAAATGTGTAGACTTTCGGTAGTAAGCAATACAAACAAAAATGACGCGATCTATCACATGGTGACGGTATACCGTGGAGCCAGCAGGTGTGCTAACACTCGGAACTTGGTAGTAGGCGAGAATTTTTTCAACCAGCTGTATCTAAAAGTGGGAAATTCTAAACCTCAACATGGTATGAGCAAGTCTGGAGTACAGCCTATCCTGAGATTGATGTTCAGAATACTGAACAATTCCCTTTTACAGCTGTCATTGGCAGAAATTTGTTTCCCGGAAGGGCAACTTTTCTAAATCGGAATTTGATACAGTGCTTTGGGGTAAAGCTGTTTCGCAACGATTTGCACTAAAAGTGCAAAAGATCAGCACCAAAATGAGGGATATAATGAGCGCTGAGCAGGGCAGCAGCAGCCGGGCTCAGATGTCATGAAGCAGTGACTGCATACCACTCTATTATTCGGCTTGTTAGCTCGTCACACCTATATTTAAAAATCATATTCGATTTTCAGATGAAGACAGCTCTTGTGTTGCTTCGTATTTGATTGCTACTGTACTGGCCAGCAGTAGTGCTTGGAGACATGGCCGTCACAGAGGTCGCCATCACCACGGACCTCCACCCCCCCATATCTAAAAATGTCAGCGAAGAAGCTCGTAGAGAATATCGCAAAATCTTTTCCAATGATACTTTGACAGTCGCTCAACAAAAGGAAGAGGTCAACAAAATGGGCTCAGAAATACGGGATTGAGGTAAGTGAAGCCTTCTAAAAATTGTAGGCAATATTTGTCGTCATTTCTGGGCGAAAAGGGTGAAATCGTGACACTTCAGGAGGAAGTGAAGGCATTCGACGAGAAAATGAAGACCCACATGGAGGAGGTGAAGAATATGTCACCAAACTGATAGACTATTTACCAGAAGCCTTCAAAAAGTTTTCCGAAATAGTAGAAGACGAGAATCAGACACCGAGACAGATAGGAGAGAGAAGGCACAATTTGACCGCCACTTACCCTGAGGTACAGCAGCTGTGAACTGCGAGTTCAATTATCTGTCCACTTATTTGGCTTTTTACCGGGTACCCTTCGATGTGCTGATCTCCTTTTGTAGGCCTTCCATGTGCTGAAGTTCGCGTTCGGGCAATTCATGCCAAGACACGGTCCATCATGGTCGACAATGGTCACATGGCGAGTACCGTGGCATCATGGTAAAGCTGCGAGATGATAACGATGTCCCAATGGACTTCGACGACAGTAAAGGCAAGATAAAAGATGCAAATGTAGTTCGAGGGGGACCACTCATAATATCTAATCGACCTGACAATATCTAATCGAAGTGGAGCTGCGGAAGGGCGGTCATATCTAATCACCATTCAGACAGTCTCTGAATGCATGATAAGATAGGGATACCAACTCTTCCATACAAAATTGGATACCTTAAAGTCGTTCTCTTCGAGGGCTCGCATGGCAGTCGCAAGAAGGGAAAGTGAAGAGCCAGCAAGGTAGCAGCCATTTTAGCCATAGAATAATATGACAAGGGTAAGCGTACTAGTCGTAGGCCACGGTCTCAGTGAAAGATATGATAAGATATAAGTGCTCTTCCCGCAGCTCTATTTGATTAGATATGTGTGTCTTTCCGCAACTCCACCTCGATTAGATAGGGTGGCCCCCCCCGAACTACATTTTCACCAAGATGCTTCACAAGTTCAATATTGAGCTAATTCAGATACTTGTTCCTGAAGTAATCCAATTGCAGGTTTTCAAGAATGAAGCAGAAAGAGTTCCATGTTTTTCGGATTTTTTTTGTGATAATGATACGTATCATTTTTGAAAATGACACTGCTTTCTTTTTAATAATTGCTGAGAAGTTCCTGTGGACGTCGCAAACTGTTTTTTTTTTTT